ATCTAGTTGGTCGTCATGTAACTCTGTTCTTAAGCAACTTTCAGTATATTTCATTTTCGCAAAAATGTTGTTCCCAGGCATATGCACTTCTAAATAATGAGACCAGCATTTTCTCATTTATTCAATAAGCTTTTATAGTGATTTTCCAAGCGTAGCTTAGATGTGGCACAAGGCCGAATGTATGAAGCACCCAGTGAGGATCGAACTCACGACTCAGTTGGAGTTGTTCTAGCTAGACAAGCTTGCTAACCATTACACCGTCTCGAGGTGCCCTAGTGATTCTCCTTGAAGCGTAGCTTGGATGTGGCACAAGGCCGAAAGTAGGGGCACCCAGTGAGGATCGAACTCACTACACATTCGTAATTGTTCTAGCGAGACAAGCTTTAACCATTGAACCACCTCGAGGTGATTTTAAGATTTAAGCGTAGTGCAGAAAAAAAACAAAAGGCCGACAGTATGGGTCTCCCAGTGAGGAACGAACTCACTTTTCAGTCGTAATAAATCTTTCAGGAGACAAATTGTTAACCATTACACCACGCCGGAGTAGGTTTTTATATTTTCCGCTTTGCAAAACATATTTTTTGTGCAAGTCAGCAGCGGATTCGGGATTAAATTTTGATTTAAAATTCCGTCTCATTGTAAGTCAATTAACTCCAACTGATATTTTTTCTGTCACTTGCTCCACAAATTAATTAGATGTGTTAAATTGGCGGGCCGGACAAAAATCCTTTGCGGGCCGGTTGTGGCCGGGGATTGCCGAGTTCTGATTTAGAAAATACTGAGAAAAAAAAAACCCTTTTTTTATGAATACGACGAAAGAGGAGGGGTGTTGAGCAAAAATCAGGGCCTGATAAAGTAAAACTGAGTAAAAATTCGTTCTCAGCATACCCAAATTACACAGACCTGTCAAATCTAATTCAATAGACAAAAAATTGAAATTTGTTCCCAGTTTTATGAATAAGATACAATTTCCCTACTGACTGGAGAGTAACTTAAGATTTAATCAACTTATAATTTACAGAGAAAGGTAAAAGTTAAACAGCGGCCTGGGTATGGCGATAAACTACATCCGCGTCTTGCGGAAAACGATAAATTACGTCCAACTGCAAGGCCTCTGATCAGGAGGTTTTGAGGAGCATGGAACCACCTCTTAATTGCTGCTGTTAGGGTACCAGCTTTGGGCAAATAGTTAAAACTCATATTACATTCGCATCCTGGGTATGACGATAAACTACATCCGCGTCCTGGGTATAACGATGAACTACACCCGCGACCTGGGTAAGACGATAAACTACGCCTAACAACAAGGCTTCTGATAATATAGCTGCATGTTTTTGAAAGAAAGAAAAAATAATAATATTACCAACTATACGATTTAAAAAAAAAAAAATAATATTACCTGCTATACATTTTTGAGAAAAAAAAATTGACAGAAACGGATTTTTGACAAAACAAAAATATTACCAGGGAAAAAAAAGAAAAAAAGTTGTCGGCATTAAATAACCCATTCAGGTTGATGTGCCGTAAAACAAAACAAACAAAAGTTAAACAGCATTTAAAGCATGTATCAAATTATTAATCTGCAAAGTTTGGGCTTTTAAGCATGTATATTTATTAAGTTATTGGAAATTCAATGAGCAAACATTCAACAATTTACCTGTTAAATATTTATACGTATTTATGTGTCTACTTCTAAGACCGGCATCTTCTTTTATGTGCCATCTCTCAGTTGGCTCAGTCCGAGGACAGGAACACATCTGCGGAAAACAATAAAACACTGTGAGGTATCCGGTCCCGGGGAACAGTATCTCGGGCCTGCACCCCTCCATTGCACTAGAGAGAGGGTCCAGTAGTCGTACCGAAGCTAGCGCATCCACGGTTGTTGGTGGGAGGTCTGGACAATTTTTTTTTTACGTGTCCCGAGCGTACGCGCTCCGGTGTTCCCCACATTAAACCCGACCTTGTGTCACATCACGTCTCAGTGGGAAGCCTGGGGGTAAATACATCTTCTACCTATAGATATATGTACAAACTTGATGTAAACTCCCAAATCCCTCGTCCTTTATAGCTAACAAATTTTGTCATTTCTCCTAAACTTTGTTCCGCCATCCATTTACTCAAGTAGGTTATGCGTTGTTTTCCTCTGTCTCTTTTGCTTTCAATCTGTCTTGTGAGTATCAGATTGCCAAGCCTCCTTTCCTCGTTATGTGTCCTAGAAATTTCAAGTGATTCTTCCTGATGTTAGGTATAATTTTCCTTTTCGTTTTCATTTTCTCATATGTTTGGTCCGTAGTATCCTGAGGAGATTGTCCAGGATTCACTGCCATACAGGAGAACAGATATCATATAACAGTTCAGTACTCTTTTCTTTGTTTCCAACAAAATTTTCCTATCTCTTAATACTCTGCTTAGCTTTTGGAATGCATCTTTGGCTATCCCGATACGTCTTCGAATCTCAGTGTCGCACTTTCCGTCCTCTGTTAGAACACTTCACAGATATTTAAAGTATAAACAAAATGACAACCTGTGTCTACCTATAGACTTAAGTACAAACGGGATGTACCTATGCACTCAAAGTATGAACTCAAATCCATACCTACCTATAGACTCAAGCACAGATATGATGTACATCTACCTATAGACACTAGTATGCATACGACCTATGTCTACCTATAGATTCAAATACAAACATGATCTACCTCTACCTACGGACACAAGTATAAACATGACTTATGTTTATCTATAGACACTTGTACAAATATAATACATGTCAACCTATTGACTCAAGTATAAATACAGCCCGTCTACTTAAAGATTAAGTGCAAACATAATGTACGTCTATCTATGGTCTCGGGTAAAAAAAAAAAAGACTTATTTCTGCCTGCAGACCAAAGGATAAACACGACATGCAACCTATAGTCTCAAGTACAAATATGATTTACTTCTGCCTATGGATTCAAATATGAATACAAATTATACTTACTTATAGACTCTAGTACAGGTGTGACGTAAGAACTTTAGTACGCATACGACCAAGGTCTACCTATAGAGGCAAGTATAAACATGATCTTCTATATACGGACTCAATTATAAACATGACTTACGTCTACCTATAGAACTGTACAAATATGACGTATATCTACCTATAGACTCAAGTACATTCTACTCACGGTCTCAGGTATAATCATAACTTATATATAACTGTCTACCTACAGACTCAAGTACCGCTACCTATGGACTCAAATATGAATATACACTATATCTACCTCTAGACTCGGGAACAGATACTCTATAGAATCTATAGACGCTTGTAAGTACATGACCTATGTTTACCAATGGATTAAAGTACAAACATCTACTTCTTACGAACTCATGTATAAACGTGAACCATGTCTACCTATAGAGTCTACTACAAGCATGATGCACGTCTACCTATAGATATATGTACAAACATGATGTACGTCTATCTATGGATTCAGGTATAAAGAAGACTTATGTCTACCTATAGACTTAAGTATAAACACCACTTATGCAACCTATAGGCTCAAGTACGAACATCTATCTATGGACTCAAGTATGAACACAAACTATACCTACCTTTAGACTCAAGGAGATATTTGATGTACGTCTGCCTATAGACTAGGATGCACACGAGCTACGTCTATTTATGGTTACAGGTATAAATACAAACAGATTTTAACATTAATTAATCGAACAAGGGTTGATATGTTTTTTAAATCCACCATCCCAGAACCAATAGTGCATGGTTATTACGAAAAGTAATAGCCTAACATGAAAATTAGAAATTGGGGATACCAAAATCAAACAAGTACAACAATTTAAATATGCGGTAAGTGTTTTAACAGAAGGTGGAAAACATGACGCTGGAATCCGAAGATAGCAGAAGATTCCTTCCAAAAGCTAAGCAAAGTATTAAGAAACAGAGAAAAAAAAATTGCTAGAAACAAAGAAAGGTGTACTGAACTGCTATGTTATATCAGTCTTCCTATATTGCATTGAATGTTGGACAAGCTTCTCTCAGACGAAGAAGAGACTTGAGGTAACACAAATATGGTTCTACAGAAGGATGTTGAGAAGACCTGAGAACCTAGAGAAAATGGAAATAAAAAGGACACTTGTAATTAACATGTGCACCTGGACGAATGGTTAGAACATTCGCTTTCTGACCATGAGACCCGGGTGAGGTTAGAACCCGGTGACGTCTTGAAGTTATCGGTCTGGGGGGTGGGGGGCAATCCCAGTGTGCGGCACCTTTGGAAAGTGCCTGAAAACGACACCACGGGTTGATCCAAGCCTTGTGAGTGAAATTCGGTAGACGGAACTCTTGGGGGCCGTCGGTGATTGTGCTAGCACGAAGTCACACGTCATCGTGACCGAGAGTTTTTAGCATGATGGCCTTGTTCAGTCTATCGATCATGCTAGATAACGCGCTCTCTCCCAACGGTAACTAAGGTCCGCTCAGCATCGTTGCCGAGGTGGGCTCTGCGGGTGTTGAATAAACACAAATGTGCCTGAGCAGACGCCTGCAATGGGGATTAGCTAGGAGAGATAGTAGAAAGACAAAATTTATTAAGAGCTACAAAGGTCAGGGAATTGTGGAGAGGAGAGCCATAATCGTCTATGTCCTCACAGCACATAGAAGAAGACCACAGTACCTTTTTATTGACGAGCACAAACTCTTAACTCGGAAAGAAACAATGATTTCACAAACTCGTTAAACATTGCTCAATGATTGGATTGTACCCATTCTGAGAGTAGACTTGTTACACAATAGAAATTAAATTAATTCTAATAGCAAAGGACTAAAGATACGTGGCATTAGCAGGGTTTAGAATTTTTTTGCTCGATAGTTGAAAGCCCCTTTAAGAAGATAAAAGGATAGAAAAAAAATACTAAAGACTATAACCAAGCCAGCCCAAGTGTGAAACAAGCACAACTGCAACGGTCCGCGCTAACTGAGCCAATCCAACGAACAACCAATGACAACCAGCTGCAGTAGTAGTCACAGTAACAAAGCATCCCCAGCCACAAACCCCGTTTCACCGAACGGCAAGAAAAAAGAAGAAAGCTGTGTTCCCTCTGGCACAGACCGAACCTCGCGGCCAGAAAAACGAAAATTCAGTATCGATCACTCGATTATTCTATCTTTCTCTCTCTCTCTCTCTCTCTTTTTCTCTGTCAGTTTCTCTCTCTTTTGAAATCTAGTGGTGGGTAAGCGAGTGAGGACCTTAGTTTTAAAATTCTTTTGCAGTGGTAGCGATAATGGTTAGCATTTTTTTTTTCCTTCTTCACACTCTTCTTGACTCATCCTACAACAGTTATTTATTCTGTCACTCATTCACCAGTTCATTCGTTGGAGAGCTCAACCACTCACTCTGTCTTGACAAACATTTTCTTTTTCTTGTAGCCATAGGCCGTTCTTTGCGGAAACACCTCAAACACATCACATCACTTTTCCTAGCCTTCCTTCACTGTGTCTGTCTGCCTGTGTTGAGTATCGATCGCTATTTAAAACCCAACACCCGCACCCTAAGTTACCTCCCTTAGTAGATAAGGCTTTTTCAACTGTATTTTCTTTCTTTCTTTCTTTCTTTGGCTTACTCTCTCTATCTTTTCTCGCATCTCCGATTCCAGTTTACTCTTTCTTTCTTTCTTTCTTTCTTTCTTTCTTTCTTTTCCTTTCCCCTCTTCGCTTTTCCTCTCTTTGACTTTCATTCTTTTTCCGTGTCTTCGATTACAATTTACTTTTTCTTTCTTTTTTCTTTCATTCTTTTCCTTTCTTTCTTTCATTCTTTTTCTTTCTTATTCTTCTATTTCTGTTTTCCTTTCTTTGACTCTTCCTTTTTTGTTCCTATCTTCGATTACAATATTTTTTCTTCTCCTCCCCTTCTTCATACTTTTTCACCGATGATTATTTCTTCTTCTTCTTCTTCTTGTAATTGTTTCTAAGCCGGGTGGCATCAGTTGAATCTGAGAAGCTAAAGAAAGTGTTCTGATGTCGATTGCTCTGAAGCGAGGAGAGTTTGGGATTTCAGGTGACGCAATGCTTTTCCCATCTACACTTGTTTGTCAAATTTCAACGCTTAGAAGTTCTCAAGAACTAAAGATCTTTTTTTTACCCAACTTCATAATATGAATGAACATATTGTTAAAAAAAAACTTACAGTATTCAAACTTCAATCTTGTAAGAAAACAGCATGTATAGTGGCGAACAAAAGATACAGTCCAAGATGCGAGTTACACATTGGGGACATCAAAGTTAAATACGTGTGAAAATGTGGGTAATATAAGAACAGATGATACAATACATAGTACACGGATCCATTTAATGTAGGTACCTCCATTAATTTGATATAAATTTTCGATACCTAAGATTCAAAATAAATTTAAAAAAAAATGAAAAAGCATTCTTAAAATTTCATTTTAGCTTTAATTGAAGCGTAAATGATTAAATTTACTATTTCCAGTCAGTGTATTTCAAATAAAAATTATATAGATCGGAATCTCAACTTTTTGGCCGATTTAAGAAAATTTTCTTAAAAGCAGCCATTTTCTTAAATTTAAGAAATTTATAAACAAAGCAAAATTATCGGTTTTAAAATACTTCCAAAAATAAAATATATATTTGTGACACGTCATTTGAGCAAAATTAGCAAATTTAAACTTAAATTAATCTGATTTGAAATAAACATTACTTACTTATAGCATAAAAATTAATATACAAACATTTCTTAAGGTCGGGTCCTGTTTTTCTTTGATCTTTATTAACGTATCGATAAGTTTCCGAGGTGATGACAGCTAGTATGGATGACCAGAATTGACATAAATTTACGAAATAAATGAGCATATTTTCAGCAATTACCTAATAATTTATTGACTTTATTAACCTTTCGAAGGTGCTTTATGAAAAAAATATAAAATGTAAAAGGGCCAGGTATTGAACTCACAACTCTTTGGGTCAAGTCACTGGATTAGTTTAACCAATGTTTTTATCCCAAGGACACATGACTTGGTGGATAAAAGCGTTGATGGAAATAATCCAGTTACTTGACCCAAAGAGTTGTGAGTTCAATACCTGGTCACAGCAGAAGTGAACAAAAATCTTGGAGAGTTGAATTACTAAAGGGAAATAACTGATACTGAGATATCTAGAAAAGGCATGGCACGTGGAACTAGAGCAATTTAACACGGTGGACTAAATAAAGGGCTGGGCTCGAAATTCCAATGTATATCACCTGAAGAAGACCGGAGCGTACAACGGCTGACACGTCATGAATATGACAACAAAGATGTGAGGGACTTTGTTATCAAGGGGAATTAACTAAAACTGAGATATCCAAAAAAAGCGTGGCACGTGGAATTAGAAAAATCTACCCCTGTGAACTAAATAAAAGGTTCAATTTGAAATTCCAACGTATATCACCTGAATAAGGCCGGAGCGTATAATGACCGCCACGTTGTGAATATGACAATAATGATGAGAGGGACTTAGTTACCAAGAGGAACCAATTAAAACTGAGATATCAAAAAAAAAAAAAAAAAAGAAGAAAAAAAGCATGTTACGTGGAATTAAAACAATCTACCTCCGTGGACTAAATTAAAGGGTTCAGTTCGAAATTCCATCGTATATCACCTGAGGAAAGCCGGAGCTTATAACAATACAGGTGAGAGGGACTTAATAAGGTTTCTGGGCGTATAATCCAGTGTGATTAGTCTTTGAAAGAAGTGACTATTGTGATTTTGGTGTTGGCACAGCTGGCAAGTGTTAAAGAGTAATTAATCTGGCAAGATGTGCTGCGGTAACTTAAAAAAAAAAAACAAAAAAAAAAAAACGACCATACCTGAACTCAACTCCGTGTCAACCTTGAAACACAAGAGAAAAAGAACAATTAATGAATAACAATAAGTAAATTCTTAGTATCCTTATTAAAAGAAGAAAGAAAATTACCATCTTGATGCATATAAATTTTATTCCGAGTACTTTCGACATTAGCACAATGTCGTCATCAGGTACAGACAAATATTTAGGAAAAATCTTGTTGAAAATACATCTATACATTTTCATGAAAATAATAAACAAAAACTAAAAATTCTTAAAGCTTATTAAAAAATTGAAACCAACCTTTAATAAAATTATTTCTGAATACTGCACAAATATTTTAAAATGTTTACAGTAGATAGTTTAAAATATTTAGGTTTTAACTAATAGTTTTAAATAGTTTTTCTTTAAAAAATATTTAGACCCTTCAATAACTTACTTACCTCCCTTGAGGTAAGAATAGAATAAAAACATGCTGCCAAAATATATAAATTTTATACACACACACACACATATATATATATATATATATATATATATATATATATATATATATATATATATATGTATATATATATGATTCTATATATCAAGCAGACAAATATTTAGGAAAAATCTTGTTGGAAATATATATATATATATATATATATATATATATATATATAGAGAGAGAGAGAGAGAGAAGAATTAAGAAATGGACAAAGTACGACAATTTATCTATTAAAGACATTTATTTATGTTTAACGTTCTTTTTTTCAGGTCGGTAAATGTTATTTAATACTGTTTATTATAAACAGAGCATTTACTTAAATACTTGTATCTATAAAAAAGAACGTTAAACATAAAAAATGTCTTTAATATATATGATTCTATGTATCAAACAAGAGGGAATTACTTTTACATTCCGACCAATCTAGTACTGCGCTTAAATTCATAAAGTTTAGGTACCCTAGAAGAAAGTTTATCAGAATAATTACCATGAAAGTTTTTTTTTGTTTTTTATTTTTTTGTTTTTTATTGAAGACAATTCCTATGCATGTGGTCAAAAAACGAATTCTTGTTGAAAGCGATTGTGTTTCTTGAACCTTTCGATGATGTTCGTATTTGCTTCAAGAGGCTCAAGACTGAGGGACATTTCAAAATAGGACGATTTCACTGGTGCATTATTTTTCCTCTTTGCTATACGGCATGATTATATACTACGCCCGAAGAGAAAGAGGATTCACTTTGTAATTATCCAAATCGATAGACCGAGCGTTTAGCCCGCAAATGACTAAATGCTAACAATACATACTATCAGGTTATCCCATAATTAAGGCCTAAAATCTAACAGTGAAAAATCGAGTGATATTGTCACTATTTGGAAAGAATAAATGAGATCACAATATATGAGATCAGATCAATTCATAATTAAGCCCCGAAAATCTGATAAAGACATTGGTATTTTCGCTATTCCGATATCGTAGCAATACATACTAGGACATCCAAGAAATAATGTGCGTTATCTGATAGCGACAGATATTTTTCGCTTTTCTCAAATGACTAAATGATAACAAGATATGACAGATGGTCAACACCGGAATCAATTATCGATACAATGGAAGATATTTTCGCTATTTCGAAATTGTAATGATACTGGCGAGGTTTGCTGTTTCAAAACCTAACAAGAGAAGCAATACAAAATAGTAATGAAAGACCTAACAAAAGAAACAAAAGAAAATAGTAGTCAACCTAAGAAGACAATCAGAAAATAGTAATGAAAAACCTAACATAAGGACAACAATGTTAATAGTTACAATACCTCATCCCAAAAATACAGACAAGCAATGAAAACTGTTTACAAGAACCTTCTGGTATTCCTATTTCTTTATGGGTTTTTATTAGATCCTACAGTAGTTTGATATATTACGTATGTTTATAGGCATTTACTATTTAATAGTCATTCAAATTATCGGTTATTACTGTTAAATGGTGATTTTCTGTTATTTTTTTTTTATTAAAGTTCCTCGCATGTTTTCAGTGCAGCTATAGTTAAGTTTTAGAATATTTCTGTTGAATATTTTGCGCAGTTTGCTTCAATTTGGGAATATGTTTGCTGATAATATTCATTAAAATACAATTCAGTTCAATTTGACAAAGATGATGGACAAGACTTGTTTTTTATGTCCATCGTCTTTGTCAAATTGAACTGAATTGTATTTTAATGAATATTGTCCCGAAGAAGGTTTATTAAACCGAAACGTCAGACGTCGACATTTCATTCATTTTAAACAATATAATTGCATTTAAGGATTTTTGTTTGTTTTTCCAAATTTTTCTTCATATATATATATATATATATATGTGTGTGTGTGTGTGTGTGTGTGTGTGTATACATTGATTATTGAAAACAATACAAATTAACAGTATAAAAACTGCATATATGAATGAATATTTGATGTGATGGAATAACCTGCCACCCCCCATGAATAGCGGCACTATAGGTGGTAACCACCTATAAGTATCCGTTAGGACAGCGAACAGGAGAATCGAGCTGGGATCTTTCCCAGCTGCGCTAGTCGAACTCTCTGCCTTCGGGTAGAGAGGAACCCGGACGAGGCTATGCCGAAGGGCAGAGTCTCATTCGGGGAGGTAGACAGACCCGAGCCCGTTTATGTGGTATCTACGGAGATTTTTTTTGGCCGAGCCTACGGGCTCGGGGATCCCACATTAAATTCGGCCTTGTGCCACATGTGACTGCGTGGGGCAGTTGCTAAATAGCATCGAGCTGGGATCTGTTATTCAGATCTTGGCTACTGTTAAACCCTCTGCCTTTGGGCAGAGAGGAACACGGACGAAGCTATGCCGAAGGGCAGAGTCTCATTCGGGGAGGTAGACAGACCCGAGCCC